TAGAAGCTGACCTTGTGCTGTTGAAGCTAGAGAGGTGAGCAGAGTAAGTCTGATTCCCTGTAAGGACTTTTCTGTTGACACCCACCCCTTGGCGCTCATATGACCTTATGCAGTTGCGAGCGCCGTAACACTCTCTACTAAAAAAATGGTTCTGATTTGTAGACTCTTTCTCTTTAATTTTCTCAAAACTTCGAATATTGACTTAGGTGCTTGTAAAATGACGCTGACAAAAAAATGCCGCTCGAACGAGCAACTATCTTCGTTACGGTACAAAGTTTGTAAGTTGAGAACCTCGTTATTTTCAGACTGCCTCTAGGGCTTTGTTCCGCTTGTGCATCTTGAGATTGTGCCGCCTTATTTATATTTATGGACTAAGAAACTCGATCAAAAAGTCATCGTTGTTTGGGTCGGCCCATTTTCCGAGATAGATTACACCACAGAGCATGCTATTTTTTACTTGGGTGAAGCACAAGAACTTGATATGGTACAGTAGATGTTGTAGAGTTGTATGTAATTAACGAATAGGCTCTGGCGAGGAACTTGTACGGAAAACTGGTTGGATGGTGGAAGGTAAAGGTTCTTTTATTGTCTCTTTGTCGGTGTTGGGCGTATTAAAATTATTGGGCGGCAGTGCACGACCGGGCTCTATGGACGAGAAGCCCCTGGTTGAGATCTCTCCGATTATCGGTAAATCACCTCCTTATTTATCTAAATAGTTTTCATGGGGATACATTAGATCTATCATCTTCCTACGCTGGTTCTGATTTGTGGTGTTTCTCCACATCTTATTGTGGACTGTCGAGCTCGTAACCGTTGTGTCCTATGGAAAGGTATTCATTTATTCATTTATTTATTTATTTATTTATTTATTTATTTATTTATTTATTATTTATCTATCTATTTATTTATCTATTCATTCGTTTGTACATATTAATTAATTTATGTATTTATTAATTTATTAATTTATTAATGTATTAATGTACAATAATTAATTAATTAATAAAGTTTTCATTTATTTATTTATCTATTTATTTATATGTCTATTTATCTATTTATTTATTCCAGAAAGGGTGTGAGTTTGGGAAAAATGCCCTCGCGTGCCAGGAGGCAATCATGAGAACCTGCCACGGACATACTGCTGACGTCATGCACGAACTTCTTCAGCCAACGTTGGCGGAATTGTGCCGAGAAATGCCCGTTGTCGGATAGACCAGACAGTTTACCATACATATATATATATATATATATATATATATATATAGATAGATAGATATATAGATAGATAGATAGATAGATATATATGCAAAAACATTGGTAAATGCCCCTCTTCCCCACCCCACCCCATCCCCGCCCTTTTCCATTTTTGCTTAAAATACGATAGAAACGTCTTTCGCGAATGACGTCACGGAGACTCAAAAGTGACTTTACAGAGAGTAGTACATGTATTAGTAACCCTTGATGTGCTTACAAAGGGTAACGTTCGAAAGGGGATTAGGCGAAAGTTTTAGTTTTAGTAGAGGTTTTATGGCGCTCGCAACTGCATAAGGTCATGTAAGCGCCAGAAGATTAGTAGTGTTACAAGAGAGTAACAAATATAAAAAAGAAGAAGGGGAAATAAGGATGATAGATGTTCGATAGGAAAGAAGAAGCAAACCACACCAGAGCACACGCCAACCACCCACTGGCGAAAGTTTACTTTTACTGAAAGTTTATAACGTCTTGTACACTGGGAATTTGCAACACACAGGTGACAGTTTTCTCCCCGCTGCAGATTTAATTTTAATTAGCAAAAGTCTTTCACTGAAGAAGAAGAAGAAGAAGAAGAAGAAGAAGAAGAAGAAGAAGAAGAAGAAGA